CACCAGTGATTTAGGGTTGTATTGTGCTGCATCGTTTCGATAGCCCAACGCAGAGGTTTATCACAATGCAATGCAAAGCTGACCCACGGCCCCCAAGTGACGAGGTATGAATCCTTCCTCTCATCGCCGCACATACTTGCCGTCAGCTGGTTTTAGACTAGTCTGCATATCGCGGGTACCATGGTATTGGCGCCTCGCATTCCCCGGTCCTTCTTCTCTCGTCACATTCATGCAAAGGACTCGGAGACCGCTCCGAAGGTGTCTCCTTCACATCGGCTAGCAACGGGGCCCGCGGGGCCCGGGTCTGCCGGATGGACTGTGATCCAATTTCCTCCCACCTTGCGATCGAGCGGCGAAAGTCAGCGCCAAAGTCAGCACCAAATTCAGCGCCAAAAGTCAACACCAAAGCACACTATAATGGCCGCCTTCCCGAGGGCTTCTTCGAGTCACGTGACGATTTGCTCGACTCAGCTAACTCGTATGCCCAGCCTCGAGGCTGTGCCTTTACGACTCAACGGTCTTCTCGGCGGCTGGACGGCTTTCTAAAAGTCTATTCGCATGCGATGGAAGGCGCGGGGCAATGCTGCGTTAGATGCATCTTTGTTGATTATATAAGCCATTTTGGTTTACGTACGCACACATGGATGTGCGCCTAGTGGGAGCCCTGCTTACTTCGTAAGTTATCCATTTCGTGGTCGACCCAAAACCCAAGGTCGGTTCGATGTTACGTTCAACTATTTTCCCGCACATTAAACCTCCTTAGCGAATTTAAAGGGAATACTCGATGCGAGGTAGTCCATCTCACCAGAGAAGTTGATGCTTACGTTGGATTTCTTCATTGCACACAGCCTGCATCTCTGAGTGGCTGACCCGAACTTCATCACGGCTGGAAGGCACGGAAGCGCGAGGTGCAGGAGTCCAAGTGCGAATCCCCTCGGGCTGGTCCTAGTGGCCAAGTTTCAGGAGCTGAAATGTCTATAAAGGCGGCCTATCACCTGCTCTCTGCATGACTTTCACTTTCTCATCCGCATCCTCATGTTCAATCAATCAGCGCTTTCAGACTTCCCAGTTCTTACGAAGAGACCCAGCCAACACGAACTCGTCCCATCATGCATCTCACCATCTTCGCTGCCGCCCTCCTGGCCTCGGCCGTCTCGGCCCGCGAGTTCATCCTGTTCGACGACATCAACCTCCGCGGCGTCGCCCACAGAGAGACGCGTGACAACGATGCCGCTTGCTGTACGTTCATCACCGCCACCTGTCCTCTCGCCCATCCGCGACGTACTATGAGCCAGTAGTAGGACTAGTCCGAGTCCTGAGAGGGTACTGATACGTCTCCCAGGGAATCTCAACGGCAAAGGCGACCGTGCCAGCTCCGTGTGGGGCGACAATGGTTGCACTACCTTCTACCGGTCAGTTCTTTCCCTTCTCCCCCTTTCTTTCCTCCTTTTCATTCTACCCTTGCTACTTTGTATAAGCTGACGCTTGGAAATGACAACGACTGGCAGTGAGCGGGACTGCGCCGGAGCCAACTGGCAGCAGCGCGGTATCGCGTATACTGTCCCGGACTTTCTGAATGACCATATCTGGTCATTCCGCAACCAGTGCTAGATCATATGTACTAGTACTCTAAGTGTTTCGCTGCGAGGCCAGTAGCTTGGACAGGAAAGAAAGAGAGGGGAAGAAAAGGGGGCGCTTGTCTTATTAAGGAGGTCTGACTGCCACTAGCAGATAGGCTGAGCTTGTAGCTGCAGCGTGCTCAGGGAACAACATTTTACCATTCAGGTAGTAGTGATCAAGCCTCTAGCCTTTCAACAAGGCTTGTCATATGGAATTACCTGTCGACCCTTCGGAGGGCTTTTGTTAGGGTGAAAACAAGGGTAGATAAGTTAAAAGTTGTTGGAAAGCCAACAGCCACGAATGTGCCGCACCGTAGTAATTGGGTATCAAAAAGATGGGCAACCACTCAATTGATGATGATGTACCTGTCTGTGTTTTTTCCAGAAGTTCCCTGCCTGTTCCTGATCCTGATAATCCTGGTGCCAAGCCATTGGTCACCCCTGAACTGCCCTCTCTGACCACCTGCCAAATCCAACACACCCCCTCAGCCGAGCCAGCGCGATGTCTGCGCTGGGGAGGCTGGAATAACCACTTCGAATGCCCTCCACTGCTTCTATCCCTCTGCTCCCAGGTCCTCTTTCTCTTCCCTTTCCCTGCGCTCTGCGAGCCTCTCGCTCACGTCGACCAGGCCTATCTGCTCCCTGAATCTGACAAACTGCTCCTGAGCAAGTGCCTTCGTTAGGCCATCTGCCATCATCTCTGCGCTCTTCGTGTACATGATGTCGATTCTGCCATTCGCATATTCCTGGCGCAACCAGTGGTTATAGATGTCCACGTGCCTGAGACTGGTTTTGAGCTTCGCGATCTCCTCCGTGACTAACCGGATAGTCTGCGTATTGTCGACTTCGACAACTAGGCGCTGCGAGTCCAGCGAGACCCTGAGCTCCTTCAACAGGCGAGAAACGAAAAGTCCTTCCTTAGCTGCCTGCGAGAGGGCAAGTAGCTCTGCCTCGGTTGTTGAGGTGGTGACTGTGTCTTGCTTGTTTGCCCGCCAGGCGATGAGGCCCCCAAAGAGCTTCATGGCGAATCCTTGGCTACTCTTGCGGTCCAGAGAGTTGTCGGCGAAACTGGCATCGCTGGCAATGCGCAGGTCATCTGCTCCACCGAATTGGAGGGCGAGGGTGCTGGTCCGTTTGAGGTACAGGAGTACCCGATCGGCGGCCTTCTGATGGGCAGGTCCAGGGTTGGTTGTAAAGCGAGCGAGTCTTGAGACTGCAAATGCAATGTCGGGGCGCGTGATGACGGCGGCGTATAGCAGGGAGCCAATTTTGCGGAGGTAGAGAGTGATGTCGCGAGCAATGGCCTCGCCTTCAAATGGCAGGAATTCTTCCTTACTCATGGGTGACCCTGAGGCGGTCTCTGTCTGGGCGAGTGTAGCGATCTTGTCGATGTATGACTTCTGAGAGAGCCAGAGCAAGCGTTTCG